GATGGTACAGAAACTGCTAGAGTCGAACAATCCTAAAATGGAGGTACGAAGCTTCCTTCATAGTTCTTGTTTCTTCAGGTTTCCTTTTTTCTAATTTTTTTTCATGTATGTCGGTAGGTCGTACTTAAAGGTACAGTGCGGGGGATTGTGACATCAAATCTTCACATATAACTAGACTGAATGGGGAAGCTCCGAATTATTTGTGAATTTGAGCGCGCCAGTTCACATGTTCGTAAAGGACCATCCTTCTGTATATGCAGTTTGAAATGTGGGGGTGTTTCGAAAACCCGTTTAGGAAGATTGCGTTTGAACTGAACCATGGTTCATGGCGGAGAATTTCCCTTTTTGCCTGCTATTTCGTCTGCTCGAGGCAATCAATTCCGCACTCAGTAGTTCCTAAAGTCACTCGAGCGAATTATGGCCCTTTTATAGCTCGAGTTTTTCGGATTTGGGAACACTTTTTGTTCTGTTTATTGGGGAACAGTTTTTGTTCTGTTTATTGCTCTGGTGAAGCGTGGATATTATCCTAGCGAATGGGGGGGGGGATATGAGCGCTTACCGCGATCAATATCCTTTGAAGGTAAATTCTAAAAGATAGTGTGGTAATTGATCAATTAGCAATGTACCAAGCAAATCACTGCTGAAGACATCTGAAAGCGCTCTGCAAGCTGAAGCGATGAGCTGTGATTGCAGCCTTCTCATTATCGGTCCCTCTTACCACAGGTCAGTGTATCGAGGGAAAGGAGCCGACCAGTAGGGAGGCCGCAGTCTCCGCCCTTTGACCGGCGCATTTTTAGCAGTTCTTTTGCTCTTTTTATTATAGGCTGGCCAGCTACAACCCTCACTTCGATTATCAGGGGTGCCCGAAAGGAGGCCCGTCGCGCGACAATAAGGCAGAGCCTGCGGACGAGTCGCGGAGCGTACTGTAGTGATTTCGCGTCAAGTTGAAGCACGTTCCTACTCAATACGCGTGCTGCGACGTCCATTAATTTGGTCCTTCTGTCGGGCACGGCGATTCTGCCTCCTGTCGCGGAACCGACATTACCAGTGCATGCCAGAGACTTCTTCTCTGTGGCCTGCACTAAAAAGGTTGTGCCAATAATACACGCATTTGTTAAATGCGGTCCTCTAGGGATAATAAGGAAGCAGAATAAGATTTCATAAGTTGTCTCAAATTCCACTCGCGCTCGTGGAGGTGTGGTCGAGTTCGGCCGCAACACTGTGCGGGAGGTCTCACTGACAGCTGTACTCTTTTGGCAAAATGCCGTGCAGAGATGAATTAGCGATTTACATGAGATATACGTAGGAGTGAGGTGCAAATACCCGGCCCACACATTGGTGTGCAGTGTATGTGAGAGTTTCCAGCATTTGTTATAGGATTTTCATCATGGTAGGCCTTGAATACGTTCGTTTTCGAAAGCAGTAACCTGCACGATGAAAACAATTAGCATGCCTTTAGCCCGCATCTAGGCGACTGTGGAGAATGACAGCGTTAAGAACCCGGGAAAGCTGCACCCTGGCACTTTTACCCTTGTGAATTAGCCCGGATCAAAACCATCTTTATCGTCAGTTTTTGATGTATGTCTATGATCAGTGTTTCCAGCAACTTGCGACCGATTCATTCGTTACATTCTCGAATATCGAAGAAAGTTCTTCATCTCGAAATTTTCCCAAATGTGTCATGCTACCTATGGCGAGGATTCACGGAAGATACGTAGCGCAGGGTTGAAAGGACTCCGAGGTACAGTTTCTCGAATTTCGGTTGGTTCCTCGGTATTCACCCGAATGATGCCCAAAAAGTCTTGCACTAGGCTTGGGGATTCATCCCAGATCAGAGCCAGTCAGGCTTTTTTTCTTTAGAGTCAAGCCCACATGGGGTGTCCAACGAATTTGTTCTGTGGGTGGATAGAGTAGCCCGCGAGTATCACAATTGTGCCGTTGTCGCGGCTCGAAAGTGCGCGACAATGGCGCTAGGGCCTTACAAAGTGAGCTAATGACGGCTAATGTGAGCTAATGGACGAGATACCTCGCGCACACCCCATGATACGCAACGTGGATTACGACGTAGCGGCTAATTCAAACGCGGGTTAGTGGAGCCATGGAGCAAGCAAGTTCAGACAACTCGTCCGGACACGCCCTCCCTCATTTCAAGGGGAAGAGGGGAGTCTTGTTCAGGGCTTCATCGGCGGTTTGCTTTGCTTCTTTTTTCATTTCAGTCAACTCGGCATCCACAATTTCATTATCGACCACTGTTACTCCATCAGTTGATCTGGGGTTGTTGCTTTGAGATCGGTCGTTTGGTACCAGATTCGTCTGGTAGGTGAAAGTGCTGGATTGTCCAGCGGTTGGCCCCTACAAAAAATTGTACAAAACAATCTATCTGAATCCTTTCACGATTTTGTATGAAGGGAAATGCATGGCGCATCCCGAAAGACTGATCAATGTCGAGGCATAGGTGTGAAGTGGAGTGTCGAAAAAGTGTGATCGATGGAGTCTGCGCTAACTTTCCATTTATTCCGCCTCTGTCTGCCTGGAATATTTCATAATGATGACGTGCACCCATAATATTTCAAAATAGCCGTTCTCAATCCTGAGAGGAAGTGGCGTGACGGTGGTTGATTTAATGTAAATAAATATTCGCCCACATGGAAAATCATGGCCCAGGGAAATGGTAGCAAAAAGCTGGCTGACGCACGGAGTCTGGCAATGATTCATTGCTGAGATGAGGGGAATGGGGACCAGGATGGACGGAGGCAGAGAAGCGGGTAGGGGTATATTACCCGTATAGATGGGACCCGAGGAGCTCGATTTGAAAACCGCAAGCAGGGTGACAAATACATAGGTACATAGTATATCGTGAATAATTCACACGTTTGCTTGAAAATGGGAAAGCAAACAGTGCCCAGGGGCACATTCATCCCTTTCCCTAGAGGATGCGTCTCCCAGCTTTGGGGGAAGGCAAAAAAAGGTTGCGTCATAGAAGACCGCCATAGCTCTGTGTTTCTATCTGCTAGATAGCTGGAGCAGTGCGACCCTCAGGGAAAAGAGCGCTTCAACAGTGGAGGGTAGTCGCGCTGCTCCAGCTATCGTAGCTATAGAAACGAAGAGCTATGGCGGTCCTATCACGCAACCCTTTTTTGTCTCCTGCTGAAGTGAGAGATTGAAAATTAGCACCCTAGTGGAGGATTGAACCCCCCCAGATCGGATCCATGTTCGGACGGTATAAGCTATTGAGGTCTGACATCAGGGATTTGGTTGTATCTTCATTACACTTTCCATAAACGGTTCGATAGTAGGGGAGAGGGAATCCTGAAAGGCAAATTAGCGATATTCAAAAATTGCCATAATTGTCAATCAAATGGCCTACCTAACTAGACCACCAACTGAAAGTTTTTGGTTGAAAGTGTGTGTGAGTTGAATTTGTGGGAACTCAGACAATGTTCTACGTGCCTGTAGTGATTCTCCCAAACATTTAGTGATAGATTCTATCTGCTGGGTTTTATTGCTGCCCTCAGATAGATCGTTATGTTGTCTGGAGAAACGTTTATCTCATTGAAGGGATCTCAAAAAGTTTACTTTATAAAGCTTTCTCCCAGTTACTTTTTTTCTGGAAATTTCGGCTGGTTCAAATTACTGTTATATCTGAGCTTTCATCGGCTGGGGGTCAGAATATAAAACGCCGGCAAAAAGTGCCCAACGACTAATGCTGTGGAAGAAGTAACGGTCAATGAACTCACTGCGAGGCCTCCTCCGGGCAACAAAAGTGTGCACTCAGATCCTGAAAAATTTACAGGCTACAGTATCTTCTAAAGGGCGCGAATAGTGGTGTCAGGAAGTCTGACAAGTGGCCGAGCGATATTAGGGAACTTGAGCGAACCGCGCCGCCGCGACTAGCCAAAGTCCGCGGCTGCGAGGACACTGCGACTTACCACGCGAGCGGTCCGGGATCAAATCCTGGGTCGTGAGTCGCCCGGGCCAACCAAGCCTTCCATCCCTCCGGGGTCGGTTAATTGGTACCAGACTTGTCTGGGAGGATAAAAACACTGACTTGAACATCGGCTGGCCCCGCAAGTCATTGTATAGGCCACATCGCATTCAAATGCCACTGCGAATGTACAAATGGAAGTAGAATGCGTGCCGCATCCCAAAAAGGGATTGATCAACGGCAAATGCTTTTTTCTTTTTTATTTCTCACACTTTGGAGACTTTAGTGAGGTAGGTCCCAATTAGTGGGATAGGTGTTGTGGATTCAAAACTCATAGCAATTTTGAAAACGTTGCTAATTTTGCTTTTCGGGTATCCGTCAACCCAAGCGAGTGAACATTAGGTCGGTTGATTTTTAAGAAATGGTGGTGCATATGTGTGAAGGCACACGCAATGGTGCATTAAGAGTCTGTGGAAAAAAAGAAAGGAGGTGCCAGTTTGGTGGATGGGCGTAATCTTGGGGTTAGTGGGCATTGGGGTATTGTGTGATATACTGTTCTATTGCAGGACTTTAAAACAGCAGGAACAAGAACAAAACATGTGATGATAATCATTTGAAGTTTTCTGGGAAAACGGGTATGAAGGGGCACACTTATGTTGAAAGCGGTCAGTTCGTGAGAAGGCGATTGGAATACAGTACAATAGTTTGTGAGGCAATGCGACAAAAACACGCAGTGGAATTCGGACGACAATAAAAAGCCGATAAGCATCGAAAAGATTGTGGCGGGTCGGATGGGTGGAGTGATTCCTGGGATACTGATTTTGGTATTCGAATCTGTGACTTGGTATATAGGAACTGGAAGCTTGGAAAATGAGTTGCTAAATCGGTCCTTTTTTCAAGGGACAAAATAAAAGCAAAATAGAAGAGCGCCACCCGAGGGATATTCGACTAACTCTTTAAAGAACATGGGTTTTTCAAGTTTCGAGACATCCACCGTGTAGGCAATTATTTATTTGTTTCTATCACTTTAGCGAAAATATGATTATTTTAGGAGTTGTGTGGAAATCAGTAACGGATGATTTGCATCCGAATATCTGGGAGAAAACAGCATATGGACAAAATTGTGCCGTCGATCCTGTTCAATCTTCAAGAAGCAGGTAACCCGCCCTCGAAACTTCATATTTCCACCCATTGTTTGTTTACTCTTTCGACTTCAACGGGACTTTTCTGAAGATTTTCGGAAGGGTGTAATACATCTCTTAACTATGTTTATAATTTTTCAAAGAACAGCTAGAAATTAGTGATATTGTTTTGAAGATCAACTGGATGAACCCAGCAAGTCGTTGACGTTATTCACTCCACTCAACGACGATCCAAGCCGTGAAGAAAGTCCACGAGCGTTATCCGATCGATGTCTACGTGAACTCAATGGGAAAAGGTACAAATTTTTGATTTTCAATTAGGTCATTTTCCCTGGATTTTAGAATTTGTCTGTCTTGGTACTCTAAATTGACGGTAACAACCTGACCTTATACCTGTGAAATGCACTGTAGAGGGTCACATTTATAACAGATGGAAGCAACCTTGGCCATCAGGTGGGAACAGGTCTAAGAGGCTGATGGATATATATCAAAAGTAAGACTTCATGCAGCTTTGATTTATTTTAGGCAAGACTGTGCGGCTTCAGCTAAATGTACGCTATTAATCCGATGAGAGCTGGGCTTATCATAAGCACATTTTATAAAACTCCTGAGTCTCCACTCAAGGATCTTGTGTAAACCTTCCATTGCCAAAATTGTTCTCATTTCTGAAATTTAGTCAATTTTCATAGTGCTTTCACTTTAAATCGTTTATTGCATTCTCAGAATCATCATTAGAAATCAGGAGAACAAAAAATCATCTCTAGTATCAATGACAGCGCAAAATACCGCTACGCAGGAGCCACTACCGTTGAGGTTTAATCTTGCTTATATTTTCATCAGAGTATTCATCTAGCGAATTTGATAGGATGTGGATGCGAGAGCAGCGTTTCAGGTTATATTTATAGCGGAATAAGACCAAGCAGAGGAAATTTATAGGATGTCTCGAAAATAATCCCTTTCGGACATCCTGATTCTCCAAAGATTGGGGATATAGAAACACTGGGGAGCATAGTATATCATTTTTTGGAGGGCGTTGCTCAAGCGAGAAAAAATAATGCACTAAAAATCGTTTCGGCAAACACTATTGACCGCTAGTGTACATCTCGACTTTGAATAGCCATCAAGATTCGGTTCTTTTTCTCTGAACGCTTGTATCCACGGCTAAGAAGTTCGTCGCGACGGCGGAAAGGGTAATTCGTCGAAGTTGAGTTTAGCGCGTTAGCGAGGACTGTACGGTACGGTATGGTAAGCTGTTGTGGGCAATACCTTTCGTTTGCCGGAACGTTGTATAATTCGGCCGCTATTTAGGAAGCTCGCTGCTTTTTTACCGCGATAGTTCCTTTTTCCCTTCTTTGACCTCACTTTAACGTGAAATCATCTTTGACCTCACCTTATCGTGAAATCTTCCTTCTAAATTGAAACCAAATTTTCAGGCGTCTTTCGGTTCGCTACGAGCGGTAATGGAGCCAGTTCTGAAACACATGGATTTACATGCCCACTGGAAACCACCGCCAATTTTCGCGATTCATGTTTTCAAAGCGATCATCTACAGTATACAGAGTCAAAATAGCTATTTTGTCATACAGGTGAATTGGATTTTTTTATCACTTCTAAATTCTAATTCTTTTTTAAGTAAGGAGAATTTTTGTTCTTCTCAACTCTATTTAATGGTAGTCAAATGAACTTTGAAATTTTCGCAAATGTAATGTTTCTTGTGAAGAAAAGAACTGGCATGACGGTCTGCTTTCAGGAACTGATTAATCATCTTGATTCGATGAGCAGTGCTGATGCTGTGATTCGAATTGGAATCGCTACCGTGCTTTCAAATATAGTATCGATCGCTGGAACGAGTATAGGTAGGTTGAAAGGCCGAGGTTATGTTACCTAAATGGACTAGTACATTTTGGGAATGGGTCGAGCTCAGCTAGAGTAACTTCTTGTGACGATTCAAAGAGTTCTCAATATGAAAACTCCAGGGGTTAACCTGTCTATCCCATTTCTCATTAGATCCTGCCAACTCATAGTTAACGCATCTTATCTCTTACCAAGGAGGTCTTCCAGGAAATGCCCAGCTTTCTCGAAACGGTTTTTTGCATGATATAGAGGTACGTGCATGGAACACAGAACTGTGGTTCATTTTTCCTGAGCGACCCTCTGAATACCAAAAAAGGAGCGAAGAAAATTCTTAAGGAACTGCCGTTCTTAACTTTCTTCACCAGTTTTTTGGCCAAAGTCTACGTATAAAGGTTGCTGATGGTCCTAATTATAGATATGACATAAGTTGTTTACGCTGACGCTATTTTTCGCGAATTTTGAAACGCCAACACAAAATGCAAAAAATTGTCACTGCGAGGATTCGAACCACGGACCACTTCATCACCCCTTTTTTGGTATTCAGAGGGCCGCTCAGGAAAAATGAACTACAGTTCTGTGTTCCATGCACGTACCCCTATATCATGCAAAAAACCGTTTTGAGAAAGCTGGCATTTCCTGAAGACCTTCCTCGTTAGAATCATGCCTACTTACAAGTCCTACACTTTCTACAAACGTCTGTTGGGCTTCATTATGTGAAGCACGATTATCAAATGCCCACAATGCGAGTTAAAAAGTTCTATTTCATTTCTTTAGGTCCGCTGCTGTTATCGATTTTCAACTCGCTTCTCAAGCATTTGCGAACGTCTGTCGATTTTGAAAGATCCGAGAAGTGCAAGGATTCTGAAGCTGAAAAGATGTATCAGGAGGCGTTAATCAACGCTATGGGTGACTTCGCGAATGCCTTACCAGACTATCAAAAGGTTCGTAGGTCATTTCTGGTTCCTGGTCAGTGCCTTATGATTTTTTCTACTGAAGCTTGTCAGGGTAGGGGTAATTGTGTTGCTTTTTAGTATAATTCTGTTAACCGAAAATGGGTCAGTAATTTATTTAGCTTAGGTTTCGGCGTTACTTTGTGAAGTATTGTTTCAGAAAGGTTTCCTTTCAGGTTGAAATGATGATGTTCACCGTGGGAAACATACCGAATTTGGACGAAAAGCGAGTCAAACAAGGTGATGAATTCTTGCAGCACGTTTTAGTGAAGACGCTGTTGAAAGGTGGGTGTCGAATTACAGTATGTTGAAATCTTAGTTATAATCGAGGAAAATTCCAAAGTTTTTCATAGTTTTGTATATCAAGGAAGGGTTATGTATAAAAGTCAAAACGGCGAATCAAATGCTCTACTTTCGCTATTTATACACACTTTTCATATACTACGAAAATTTCCCCGATTTTCTGGAAGTGACCCCTTCTCCTGCAACCACGGCCCCTTCACTGTCCACAAGTACGTCTCCCCCCAAAATCACTAAGACCACTCCGAATTGTCCTAGCGGACGGTGACATGAATAAGGATTTCTTCAAATGGGAACACATTTTCAAGTTACTATTTAAAAATATCAACGAATTCAGGTGGCAACGAAATACCGTACTGCATATTTGGCTACGGTGTTCACAGATTCCTTCTTA